ACGGTTCTCCAGCGCAACACATGTGCAGTACAATTGCCCCAGATATGTTGCGCCACCCCTTGCAGCTGGACCCCCTGTTGGGTCAGTCCGAGGGATGTCGAGGTCGAGGGTTCCGGGTCGTGGTTGCTGTGCTGCGCCGCCCGTGCTCTGGTGCCTGGCGCTGGTAATGAGCCAGGCCAGCCACAACGGGGAGAGCTGTGGTCCTTGCCCCCTTCTGGGGGGCCCATCGATTTCGCCACCCCTCTCGAGAGATCGTCGACGCGATGGGTCCCCCCAGGGGGGTAAGGACCACAGCTCCCCCAGTCATGGCTGGTCGGTGAAGCTGGTGGCAGGGAGCGATGAAGGCCTCTCTTGCTAAGGCAGTCTGGCCTCAACACGTCGCCTCTGTTCGGACGGGGCCCGGGCGGAGATGAATCCGTGCCAGAGCGATCCAGAGCGCTCTCAGTGCGTTCTGGAACGCTCTGAGAAGGCTGCGGCGTTCGAGACAACCTCTCGGAGCCGCGGGTTCTGAGAGATTTTCGATTGATCCTCACCCGAATTGATCCTCGTCTTGGCTTCGTCTTATCTGTTCTATAAGAGCACTGCTTGTGTTATCAGGGGCCCTTCTTTTGAGATCACCTTGTGGTACGGTCTATGAGGTAACTTGGGCGGTCGGCCCGTGCTCAAGTTCGGGGTTGAGGGGCTCGTTGTCCCTTAGGCCCGAGGCCCCTCCACATGGGGGGCAACTAGATTGCTAGCCCTTAGGCCTCAGGCCCCTTCGCCCTCAGGCCCTTCGGGCCCTCCACTTGGCCCTTAGGCCCCTTGGCCCTTCGGCCTTAGGTGTTCAGGGGCGCGTTGTCCCTTTAGCCCTCAGGCCCCTCCCTAGCCCCCAGCGGTCTTACGTTACCTTGCCGCCAAGGAGGGGCTTCTTTGTGTACTTGGCGTTCCTGTTGGTAGTAGCGAGTCGGCCTATTGTATCCATTGGGCGTCGTGCCCTTCCGTGCTTTGTCGCAACGGCTGGCGCGGGGTCGGAAGCGTTTCCGAGAGGCGAGCGCCGCGCCGTTTTCCCTATCTTCTTCGATTGCGCCCGTCTTGGTGTTGGACTTCCTCATCCGCCTCCTTCCTCCCGCCCCGCCTCCTACCCTCATGCTCCTGTTCCCCCCAGCCCGTCCGTGCCCTACCTCCAGGCTCGTGTGCACAGGCCCAGGTGTGCATGGTTCTCAAGCTCCCCTCTCCAGTCGGAAGGTTTCCACCGTCGCCGCCATTGCCGATCTCGATTCGAGATACGCTCATGAGTGGTCATGCGATTGCTGTGATGATGGTGTCGAGGACGACGATGAGGATGAGGTAAAGAGGAGGTTGAGGGTGAGGCGTGTACTGCTGATGACGAAGACAACGACGGCAAGGACCACCACGAGGAAGGTCGTTGACTCGCGATGGAGGTGGGCTCAGTGGGGACGGGGGAGGGTACCCTGGTCTGGGTCACCCGCGTGGGTCGCACATGAAATTGCGGTTCCCGTCTTGAGACTTGGGCCAAGGAATTGTTTTTTTTCCACGGTGGCGGCGGCAGAGCATGAGATGAAGCGTGCCTTGCGTGGCGCGAAGTGCGACGTCAGGCGTATGAGCTAGTTCGGTCGGCTGCGCCAGGTTCCTCGCTTGGGAACTCTTGAGCGCCATGGCGACGGCCCGCGTCGCACACTGCACGATCAAAAGCGCGCCCATGACTTCGAAGAGCAACTCCGTGCACCAGTCTCATGCCACATCGACGCGGCGGGGACGATGCGGGCCCTCAGGGTTGAGCACCTTCTCCAGCGGTCCGTGCCGCGCTGCGGAGCCTGCAGAAACAACCCACGGTGCGATGCAGTTCTGCGACAGCTGGTGTTCTTCAAGTGTCAAGGCTCCGTGAACTGTTGGAATCCAGAGCCCACGTCGTCAAGGCCGAGATTCGCCGTCTGGCTCAGTCTGTTGCCATTCTGGGTTCGGATTCAGTTCAGTTTGCGCGTGTGAGGTCAGGAAATAGATCCAGACTTGCTTGCAACGCCCTGAAGAGCTCCTGTCCGAATGATCAGGTGCGGCTTGTGCTTTGCATCTGCTTTCCTGCAGAACTGAAGCAGCCAGAAGCCATGGAGGCGCTGTGTAAGCTGCGGCACGAGCTTCCCTTGTGGGAGTACGGCAGCGCATTAACTACCTGGGAGGCGTACCTTGAGCTGAAGTCACGTGCTTCTGTTTGATATCGTAGCGTGCGTCTGTAATGATCCAGCCGCAGCGGTGTATTCGGAGATTCTGTCACATTCATGTTTTACCAACGCCAACCATCGTTTTCTAGTCGCGAGGACAAAGGCCACCAGTCGATTCCAAGCACGGTGCGTGCCCCCGAGGGAGAGGTTTGGTAGCCGAACATCGTTGTCGAATCGCACTGCGCTGCTGTCGTGTAATGTACTACCACCCTGTGATAAAGGAGTCAGGACATCGATGATGGTTCAGAGGGAAGACGGCAGGCGTCTGTTGTTCCCGCCGCAGCCTCCTAGCCTGCTACACCGCTGGTGCCTGGCCCTATCTCGTCCGCGAGGCCGCCGTGCTGCTTCTCATCGCTTTTCCGCCGTGACGGCCACCCACCTGGGTGCCTTTGGGCTCCCCTCTGAACAACCATCGGTGTCCCAAGTCGGTCATGGCTGAAGAGTCCTCCTTTGATGGTGTCAGCGATGCTCGACGGCAAGCTTCGTCCGCAAGGCCTCTCCCCGAGCTCCAGAGGGCGCACCCTCGCTCGCTGTCGAATCGTGTGGGGGGGCGGGGGGGCGTCTTCCGCCGCCGCCGCCTCCCGGCCTGCTCCCCCGCCCTCGTGCCCGAGCCCGCGGGGGCCGCTCCTGATGGGCTGGTGTTCCACCACCACTACAGTCGGTCCGGATTAGTAGGTCGACCCTGCCAAATGAAGGGTACCTTTGTGTCCTGTGTCTCGCGACCCATGCCTCCTGCATTCCTATGGCGATGTGACCCTCAGAAGGGTCTTGTGTCCTCTCGTGAGTCCTGTCCAATGAAGTCCGACTGCACCATAGGTAGGGGAGGGAGGATGAGGAGGATAAGGAGGATAACGAGGAGGAGGAGGAGGACAAGGAGGAGGAGGAGGAGGAGGAACTCCCCATCCTCCCGTCTCCCCCGTCCTACGTACTGGCAGTGGTGGTGGAGCAAGCTGGCCCATCAGCTCCTCGTCGCCCTGCCGCCGCGGCGGCCGCACGCCCTGGGTGCCTCCGGGGCGCCCCGGCGCCTCCGCACCGGCGGCCGCCGAGCCCCGGGGCCAGCGGCCGCGTGCGCCTGCGGGGGTCGCCGCGCCGCGGCCGCCAGCAGGGCGGCGGCGGCCTCCGAGATCCGGGGAAGCGTACGACTCGAGTAGCGGCTTCTTTAAATTACCCCTCCCCCTCCTCCTCCCTCCTCCTCCTCCTCCTCTTCCTCCTCCTCCTCTCCTCCTCCTCCTCCTCCTCCTCCTCCTCCTCCTCCCCCTCCTTCTCCCCCGTCTGAACGGCGTGAATCGGCACGAACGAAGTGGGTACGGGAAGAATGGGTGGGTGCAATGCCCAACAGCAGTTCCTCTTACTTTTGAGCAGGGCTCGCTGTCCGCGCCGCCGCGGCCTGTGTCCATCTGAGACAGAAGGCCGCCTGCCCAACAGCGGCCGCTGTGGGTTTGGGGCAACACTTGTTGTTGGGCAATGTACCCATTTTTTCCGTACCCATTTCGGGCGTCCAAAGTGAACGGCGTTCGGGCGATTTGTCGGGGGCCATGTTTTCGTGGTGGCTTCGTCTCGCGGCAGAGGCGGGAGGAGGACAGAATGGGAGGAAAAACATCGAGAGCAGCACAACGACGAGAAGCGCTGTTTGGCTCGAGCCATTAACCACACCGTCGGGTGTTGCCAGGGGTGTCTCCGGCCCAGGGAGCGCCCAGAAATTTCCGCGGTGCCCTGAGATGGCCTCCCGTCGGTATCGTTTAACCAATCCCCATCCTCATCCCCTTCGAGGCCCCCACCAAGTTAATTACCACCCCAGTTGGATGCGCCCCTCGAAACCCGAAGGGAAAGGCCTGTGACCCCATCTCTTGGTGCTGAATCGGCCAGTGGGGCCCAGGCCACGCCGCTGGGGATGGGGGTCGGATAAACGATGTTCATTGATAAGTAGGTCGACCCTGCCAAATCAAGTACCCTTGTAGTGTTTTGCGAACCATGCCTTGCACATTCCTGTGGCAATATTGCATTCGGAAGGGTATCGTGTTCTCTCTGATCAGTGCTGACTGTACGCTGGAACTTGGGGTTGCCGATGCTTTTTGACGCGCGCGTCCTGGATCTTGCGGTTCAGTTCTCGTTGGAGGTTTGCAGCGGGAGCTCGCGTCAAGTTCCAGGGCTTCTTAGAAGCACCCCTGCTTCTTAGGAGGCGCGGGCCATATCTATAGATGTAAGGCCGGTGCCTTCTAAGAAGCAGCCTCCCTCTAAGAAGCCCTCCCCCCTCCATCCACCCCCTTGTGCGCGCCGCCAACTGATGCCGAAACCGCCGCCGTCGAGCTGGTCGCCGTCGGCGCCCGTCGACTTTCGCACCGCCCGCCCTCGTTTCCCCCACCTGGCGTTGAGTCGGGCATGTCCCTCTACAGGAGGAAAATTCCAAAATAGGGAAAATAATCAGGAGAAGTTGTGTGGCGTGTTTCATGTGGCTGTACTTTGGATTATTTTTCAAATTTCCTCGGAGTTCCGCCTGTAGGAGGACATGCCCGACCCAACCCTGACCCAGCGCGCGCGCCAAAAGTTTATGGCGAATGCGTTTTTGTGTTATCTCCTTCTGCAAGCGGCCCTGTGCGTTGACTGAGCAGCCCTGTCCTGTTCGATTCCTTGTTTGGGCGCGTTCACGGAGCGGCCTCGCTCGCCTGGGGCGGTTCACGTGGGGGGTGGGCTTTCTTTGCGTTGTGCGCTGCGTCCAGAGCGGGAGGGGAAGGAGCGGGCGAGGGAGTGGGACGAGGGCGGGAGCTCCGAGCGGCCGACCCGCAGGCCCCAGCCGCTCGTCGCGCGCCCCATGCCGGCAAGCGGCACGCCGCCGCGGGGGGCTGGCGAACCTGGGGAGGCGCACACCGCAACCCCGAGGGGGGGGAAGTCGACGGCGCGCCGTGGAGGGGGGAGCGGGAGAGAGACAGAGAGAGGGACCTTCAGGAGCCGGAGAGGGACGTACTTTACACGCGCATGAATCCACGCTGGTCCCGAGAGTTCTCACTGCGCGGACGTTCGTACCACGCGGCCAGTCTCGGGGATTAAGTGCCTTGTTCATGTACGTGGTTGGGCGCGAACGTCTATCATGGGCTTCCTACTGTATATATATATGTGTATATATATGTGAGGGGACGATTGTGGTATAATGTGCGCTCCTCATGTTTTCGCTTCGGATAAGCGCGCAAGGGTTGATAATGTTTACTTCGTTTATCCTCCTGCTCCTGATCCTGCTTCTGCTGCTCCTCCTCCTCCGAGTTGCCCTTCTCCTCCTGCCCCCCCCATCCTCCTGCTGCTCATCATCTCCCTCATCCTCCGGCTCGCGATGCCACCACTCGGAGATCCCCACGGACTGCTACAGATGCAATACTTCGCCCTGGTTCTGAGGCAGATGGGGGCGGCGACAAAGGGAAAGGGCGCAAGCATAATACTCTAACACCGACGCAGACAAGACGAATCAGGACTCGTCAACGTTGACATGCGCGAGCGGCGGGAGCCTGGCCAGAGAAACCGCGCGACGCAGGCCTGCGCTTCAAAGTGAATGCTGTTCTCTTGATCCGAGGTACCCTACGAGCGCGAAGACTGTCCAAGAGCGCTCTCGCAGCGGGCTTCTTCTGAGCACCGCGCTGGACGGCAGGAGCGGCGTCGCGCGCCGCTGGCTTTCCCTGCACGCACGCGGCGCGATCGGCAATCTGCCGCGCAACCTTCTGCCGGGCTTCGCGCAGCGGAAGTCGCGCAGGCGCCAGAACGTCGGTGCCGCACTGCGCCTGGAGCGAGCAGTAATTATTCCACTCATCCCGAGGAAAAGCCCAAGCCATAATGCTTCGCGATAGCACGTTGGCCTGTCGCAGCTGCCGCAGCGTCGGCGAATACAGCGCGCAACAGTGGGCCTGCAGCTTGCCCAGGAATCCAATTCTAAGTTGAAGCTCCGCCGTCGACGCGTAGATGTCCCCCTGATTGCGAAACCACGTGTTGATCTCGTGGTTGAAGGATTCGTTAACCGACGTGCCAGATCCAAGCAGAGCTAAGCGCGCCGCCGGCAAGGAATGCCTGAACCGGAGGTTGTTAAAAAACCATTGCATCCGAGCTGAAGCGGTAGCATTGTAAAGCAACCTCTTAAGCTGAACGTTGTCCAAGGTTCTTCAGAAAACGCATGAGGTCATATCTAGTAGAGTGATGACTGTATGCGAATATTGATTGACTGTGTATTTCCTCTACTGGATGTAAGCCAACATGCAAGCAGTGCGGATCGGCGAAGCGAACGGCAACGCAACGGGGCCTGTTGCCCCGCGGGCCTCGGCGAAGCGAGGATCGGTGAAACAGAATGCGTTGCCCGGGCCTTATGCCATCGTATTCAAGAGCGCTGCCAAGGGCTTGGCGTCGCCGCTGTCTTCGGCGGCCGCCTGCGCCGCCGGAGCCAAATCAATGTGAAACGTGACTGCTAGCCTCGAGTCTCGCCCGGCGAGGACGGCATCATGGATCTCTGCCAGACTCACCTCGCCGACTTGGCCATGAAAATGAATCGTCGCCTTGTCGAGCTCCGCTCCCACGTGGACGAGCGCGCACGATGGCGACCCGTGCCCATCCATGTGGAGAAGATAATGCCCCTGCTCGCGAGCATCGAACCCCAGCTGCGGCATCATTGACACGCCGTGTGCCAGGCAACACTCCGCGCACGTCCTCCCTTTCTCCACGCTGGCAGCACTGTTCTCCACGGACGTGGCGCTGGCGCAAGATTCAACGGAAGCGGACACCCTGGCGTCGCGGCATCGCCACAGCGCCAGCATAATACCATTGCCGGGCCTCAGTAGGTCGTTGGGCGCCGCAGGCGCATCCGATGGCCGCCGCGCCCCGCAGCTCGTCAGTGCCTCCGCGATCGTCGGGTGGGTCTTCTCTGTGATTTTGACTATGAAGCCTGTTTCCCTCGCGATGTGGGCACTCGCGTCAGCGGCGTAGTCCGCCACGGTGGCATGTTTGGCGAGCACCGCGTCCCGGCTGATCCTGACGCCGTCGAAATGCAGAGACAAATGCTTCACCCGCTGCGCTAGCGCCCACGTCTGCCACTGGCGGAGGATGTAGTCCTCCGCGCGCTGGTAGAAAGTCGAGAACGTTTGTCCCTCCGGCCATTTCTCTGTCTTCTCGCCGTCGCCCTGCGCGGCGTCGTGGCAGAAGCTCTCGTATACCTCCGGCAACGCCGAGCACGCCAGCCAGCGCAGTACGCGGCTCACGCGCTGCAACTTTTTGGCGAATGGCTTGGCATCGGCGTCGAAAGAACGGGACCCGCCGATGATCTCGAGTACAAAGCGCTTGGCCGCCTCGGGCCCCATGTCCGGCAACTCGCCCCGAAGTACCTCGTCCCTGTTCTCGGCCAGCCGCTTCAGCAACTCTAACTCCTCGCTGAACAGGTTCTTGTCGGCCATGTCCATTTTCTCCACGAGTTGCCAAGTGATGGTCAGGACAGCGCTGTGGATGTCGAGATCTACGGTGCCTTGCAACATCGGATGTGGCACGCGCGCCGGGCACCCCTGCGCCGCCGGAACATCCGCGATGCGACGGGCCGCCGTGCGTTTATACGTGCAGGGAATGCTGCGCTCTGCCAAGTCGATGCCACCGCTGAAGCTCTTCTTCGCACCAATTTTCCTCCTCTTCTCCGCTGGTGCGTCGGCTGGCACCACGGTCGGCCTCTCGCGCGCGCTCTCGAGCAACGCTTCCAGGGCGAGCTCCGCTGCCTGAATGGACGCGCCGACCGCGCGCAGATGGGCGTCGCCGCCAACCTCGGGCTCCGTTCCGCGCTTCCTCCGCCCGCGCGGCTTTGGGACGGCGCCCAAGGTCTCAATCATGATGTCGACGTTGTGCTTGCGACAAGCGTTGCCGTTCGCGTAGCGGCTCAGCGCCGCGCGGTCCCACTGTTCTGGTAGCACGGTCGGCTCCTCCACGTTCGGCGCCGGCACAATATCCTCGAAGTTGCGAGTGGTCAACAATTTTGGTAAAAGTCTGTCCTTCGCTTTGCCATACAAACCACCTTTCGACCATCCGGCGGACTCCTCCATCGTTTTCCACAGCGTCGGTTTCTTCTCCGGCAGGCCCTGAATCTGCCCTGTGGACATCTGCTTCAAATATGAAAATGTCACGGCGTCGAAGCTCCGCTCGAGCATCTGATGGAGGAGTTGGCGGCGCAACTGCGCCATGGGCTCTTCCGCATCCTGCGACCCGCCCGCTCCGACATCAAAGTCGACGCCGGGCGGCGGGGCAGCCGCGCTGCTCTGGCCGCCAGGCTTCGGCCTGCTCGGCTTGTTGATGCCGAGCTTGGGGGGGGGGGGGGGGGGGGGGGGAGGGGGGGGGAGAGGCGGTTCCATGGGTTCCTTGATTCAGGACCCACTGCCCGCGTTGCTGTTTCCATCAGAACATGTTTCCATCGCCTGCAACGCGTTATGTTACATTCGCTCGCAGGCGGGGCGGAATTGCTTTCGCGCAGCTCTCATGCACGTACAAGAGCGGACTTACAGACGCCGCGGGCTTGGCGCGCGGGCGCCTCATTAAGATAAAGGTTGCTGGTGGTGGGCCAGAAGATTTGCTGTTGGTGAAGCAGAAAAGCATGATTTTCAGATGGAGGCCCTGGCTGACTTTGACTTAGACTTCGTGGATGGGTTTTTCGATGTTTCGCGCGCGGTTGCCCTTTCTTTTTTGCAGCATGCGTTGATTGGCGCGCAGCGCAGGAAGTGCTGTTTTCAGGAGGGGGGGGGGTTCACAACTTGCTTCCCCTTACGCGTCGAAAACACATCACCCGTGCGCCTGGGCGCGCGCGCATCCACAATGCGATGCATGTTGTTGATGCATTGATATTCGCACCGCTCAATACGCCCTTGTGTCGACAAGGGGGAACGTCCGCACATGTTCTGAAACGGCCTCCGTTTTGCACTCCGCACCGCAAACGCGCGCGCGTAGATTTGATGCAGTGATGCATCAACCACCAGCTTGAGTCTCACTCGAACGTCTTATTGTTACGGGACGTGACACGCCGAGCGCGGGCGGGACCCCCCCCCCCGAAAATTTGTTATCAAAATGTTGGGTGTATCTTTTTTGCAGTTGTTTTATGGCGGCCTACAAAAGACGGAAGAGCGCTTAATTTCATGCCACCAGGGCGTCAGCGTAAGTTGCAGCCCCACGCGATTCGTTATTCTGCGGGCGCCCGACATGTTAACCCAGGAGGAGGACGATAGTCCACTTGAGCCAGCTTGGCTACGGGTGTGGGAAGGGGGGGGGGAGGAGGAGTAGGAGGAGGAGGAGGAGGAGGAACATGATGAGGAAAAGCGGGAACCTCAAAACAGAGCAATCTTGAACGACTACACACCGAGCCATAACACGAAGAGTTCAAATAGACAGATTCTCCAGCAGAATCTGTCTACACCTGGCTTGGAGGAGGTTGTCCGTCCCCCTCTACCCTCCGTTCCTTCCAAGAGAGCGCAGCAAACTAAGCAAATTTGAGGGGCAACTTAAATCCAATGGGAGGCCCCGAACACCACCATTCATTGTACCGACTAGCAAAAAAAACAACCCCAAACCAGACAAAAACTCCGATCAGACTTGGTAAGTCCTTCCCCTTGCCGACCCCCTCTGTTTATTATCCTTATCGTCCCGCCCTTTAAGCGCAGGAGGAACGCGTGTGCCCAAAGTCATTGCGCTTCGCGCTTTTCGTCCTGTGGGTATTCGCAACGTTGTCAGATGCAATGTCGGTATCACACCCTTCTACATGACTACTGGGGGCCTCCGTCCACTATCCTCCTCCTATCCCCCGTCCTCCGTGACCATTTTGGCTCAAATGGATTTCTTTTCGTTCGCGTGTTCCATATTTCATATGCA